CTGTCTGGGTATGAACGTACTCATGTGGGTATGAACATACCTGTCTGGGTATGAATGTACTCATTGGGGTATGAACATACCTGTCTAGGTATGAACGTACTCATATGGGTATGAACATACCTGTTTATGTATGAACGTACTCATATGGGTATGAACATACCTGTCTAGGTATGAGTGTACTCAACTTACGGTACCTTAGGGGTGACCCCTGCGGTACGTACCTACTAACATATGATGGTTTTTGTTTTTCTGCCGTAGCGTACGTACCGTACCGTACGGCATGTATCTGCCATGGGCTCTAAATTATCACCCATGTCTACTGCTATCGAAAACGTTCAGGGTTTTGAGTTTTGATGCCCTTATCGTTTTCCGATCCTTCTCTTTTCAGTAGATTTCGACTTCGCATTTCCATTTTGAGAAGCAATTTCATAAACCAGGGACTTTCCGCTAGATTATGGGAACCATGTTTCTTGGTGGGGTTCTTTGTTGCAACTACGGACCWACCTATATCACCGCTGCACGTATTATGCATCGCAAACGTCAAAAACCACGAGAAGAGCAACGAGCACAAASTCAAACAAACCCCACACCTGCGATTGTTTATCATGTCGTTTCGGTTTCTGAATCCCCGTCTGGTGGACGAGTTTGATCCCTACCGGGAAGACGGCGTCTGCTAYCACGGCGCCACTCTAGACGATCCAGATGTTTTGTGTCGAGATATTCCTCCAAATCGATTGCGCTTTCTGGGATGGTGGTGAGTTGAGAGAGTGAGTGAGAATGGATTGTGCTCAGATTGATGGATGGATGAAATATCGGAATTGGCAATACGACTCTGTGGGAAAGCTGGATGTTCTACTGGACGATAAAATTGCAGTAGCCTCCTGTAGGGCGACGAGATGAAAAACTTGGCTTTGGTCTGCTCGGAATCAATTGGAGAACATAGCAAACAGTTGCTCACGTCATCCATGAATTGTTACGTATCCCGAACCATCCCACAATCTTCGCTAATACTGGATCTGCTTTGTGCATTCTTTCATCCAATCATCGATACAATGAATAACAGGTATATTACTCCCGAGCGACATTTTCTAGAATGGGTTRTCTTTGTAGTAACCGGGGCCTTTTTATTGATTCTGCTGGGACCCAAAATTGGGTTGTCGCCGTCGAAGCCAACATCGTCGGGCACAAACACGCATTCGCTCCAGCTGGCACCGAGGTTCTGGATGAAAGCATCTTCGCTTCTTTTTTACCCATACGTTTCTTACACAAAATTGTCCTGGGAGGGCTCGAATTATCCCGGACGGTGGCTGCTGTTTGCGTGCATGCCAGTGGGAACCATGTGGATCCTGTCTGCCCTCTTTTGTTGTCTTGGGAGCGGGARAAATTCGGCGGAACGAGCAGCCCCGGGCCAAGGAGGCAGAAGCAGCACGAACCAACAGCACCAAGCCCATAGCAGTGCGATGGCAGCGGTAGCTCGCTACTGGCTTCTGGAGATCTGGCTATCCTTCTTGCCGATTCTCGGCAGCGACCTGTTGCTGGGCTTGTTCGCCGAGGCTATGGAATCGATTGCGAAAGCCGTTCGGACGTTTGGGGCGACGATTTGGGGGACGAGCACTGCAAAAGATGGAGAAAATGCAACTATCTGCTACTTTTTCCACGGTCTCTATTTGGTCCTGGCACCGGTGTTCTACGTCGCAGTCGGGGAGCTGACGATGCATCCAGCAGTCGAGAACGGCAGAAACAACGACCAATGCGATGCAATCAGTTCCATTCCTACGTTTCGCACCAGAGGCCGCGATGCCTGCGTCGTSCTGTGGAAGCTGGCGGTCGAATGCGCACTCCGGCAGGCGGTAGGGACTGCGATTGCCACACTGTACTATATGGGCGTCGTGACACCGGCCTCGATTGTGGCCGGCCTGAACGTAAATTTTCTGCTGTACGACTTTGGAGAAACACCGAGYTTTCGGATCTACTATGTTCTGGGATGGTTTCGGGATGGATGGCTTGTTCGCTTYGGGCTGGGGACCATGGAAATGGCCGTTCGGTCTGCCACGGCGTGGCTCCTAGGGACGCAAACCAAGAGCGAATGATTTGGCTGCAAACAAGTGCCCGGTCCGAATGGAAACCAGCAGGCGAAGCTTGGAATGGCTCTGGCAGGTGAAGAACCTTCCCACGACATTCATTTTTATTCCGAGTGCAAGGAAAGAGTCTTGAGGACTGTATGACAAGAATTTCGATAATGGATTGGTCTGTTTTTGTTGCGAAATCAAATCTCTGCCTCCACAGAAGTTTTTTGCACGAACCAGCTTGAATAAGCCAAGGAACTAGATTTGCAAGTACTACTTCGAAAGAACACGAGAAGACGAGAAGATCATGAAGAACGTCTGGAGACATTTTCGTTTTGGAAAATGAGAACATCGATTTAAAAATTATAAGTACTATCATTAGTAAGAGCTCCAAGACAGCAAGTGCAGTCGCTTTCCGTAGACAATACGGAAAGGCTGTGCCACAAGTCGGGATACAAAATTGTTTTTAGCAAAGAGCMACGGATAGCTCAGAGAATATGGTCCAAGAGTAGTCGAGCCGCTAGGTTAGTTGTCTCCACAAGTAACGCAGCAGTCGCATGTCAGTTTGTTGCAATCGACAAAAATGCTTTCGATGCTTGTTTGCCTACAGAATTCATCGGGGACCGATCCAACGAAATTAGTTCCACGCAATTCGACCCACTCTGTTCGATGATGGCACAATTTGGGAACAGTGGAGTGGCTGTGGGTCAGATATGATTTTTTCACGCTAAAGAAAACCGAATCGATTTTTTAGGTTCCACTTACTTAATGAATCGAATTCCGACAACATCGCTGGGAATCCCCCCTTCCCGAGGCGCGGGTTGTTGGAAAAGTCCATGGCCGTGATGTTTACCTGATTTAGGATAATCAGCTCCATGGGGAGTTCCCCCACCAATAAGTTTCCGCCCAAATCTAACCGCTGCACCAGCTTGTTCTCGGAACAAATGACGCCGGGCCAGTCACACTCGTCGCTGTCCCATGGGGAGCCCCATGGTGTCTTCCACGAAGATTCTTGTGCACTATCTGTGGCGTCACTTGTTTGATTGCCACTTGTGGAAAAGAAAAGGCATAGAAGGGCATACCGCTGCGCGAGCTTTTCGAAGTTCAAGCTATCATTTTTGCCGAGTACCAGAATTCCGTAATTGAGCAAAATCTCCAGTGCACGGGAGTTGTATGATTCAGGGTCTTCGAATTCGCTCCCGCCCTGCAGCGCGTAACCCTCAAGAATGAGGCCACTTTTTGTGATGTATTGGCGCTCGACTCCCGGTGTGTCGGGGGTAATTGGTGCTTCTGGGATTTCCCCTACATTTTGCTTCTCCTGCTGTATTTCGAGCGGAGGAGCCAAGGGTTCTGGAGTCGAGGATTTCGAGAAGGGTTCGGGGATGTGGATGCCACCTAGATTCGTTATCGTTCCATTCTGTTTCTCATGTTCAAGAGCAGGGAACAACAAACAAAACGCAGCGGCAACGATGGCGCCGATGAAAAGAAACTGGAACATTATCCACACTAGAATGGATTTGATTGCCCGTTTCTGGGGATTCGTACCACCGGATGTAAAATGTACCTTTTCCGGCACGTCCAAGATCTCATCTGTGCTGGCTGGTACCTGGTGATCGGGCCGTGCACACTGTCCTTCTAGACTGCAGTTCCCGCAAGGAAGACCACCGCCCCTGGATCCATATTGATCGATACCTGCGTCCAAATCTTGCGACATTTCTAATCCAATTTCTCAATGTTTTATTGTGGATCGATCTAGCAATCCATGTGGCTGTTAGCACTAATTACTTCGTCACGAGAATTCCCTTCCTACCGTGTTAGCAGCGAAGCCTTGCGTCGTGTCAGCGAACTACAGTACGTACCTGGTACGGAACGTGAAGGTTTACAAACTATTTGCATTAAAATTTTTGTTCCGCTTTTTGGGAGACCTTCTTGGACTCAAACGAACAATATTTATTATCATTATCTGTTTTGTATTTATTGTAGTAATATCTGTCTATCGAGCATTTATGGTTAACAAGATTCTTTTGGTCTCCCTAAGTACGATTCTATCCTCGGGAACTGAGGAGTTGTCACTTTTATTTAATACGCCTGCCTGTGGTGGCAATCACATAAAAACCATAACAAAAGATAATCTACAAGTGGGGGTTTGTGAAAAATTTTGAGCGACGAACACCACGTAAGCATCTTTGAAATCGCTCGCGACCTGACCACATACTTCAACGATAGGAAGAGAAACGTACGGTGCACGAGTCCGAGACTGACATCCAGGAACAAAAATAAGCCCCCAAAAACCTAGTAATGATCCTTTATTCAGACGTTAAATTTGAAGAATGAAAGATGTTGTCGTCACATTGAATTACATTATTGTACGGTAGAAGAATGGGTCATTCCCGTAAATCTAGATGGTCTAAACTTCGAAACATTAGAAACAGGGCCCCACTGGACATTTTTTAGGGACTCTTCTAGTCTTATAGGAATTTGGAATCTCAACAGAAATGACTAAGACTGGAAAAGTGCGCCTGCATTTTTTTTTGTTAATTTTCATTCTTGGATCCTGGTCTAGATTTAGACTTTCTGTCAACAAGCGTGAATCCAGTGTTGACAGAAAGTCTATAAACAATTTGGACTATATGGTCTCAGAAGTTTACAAGCGAAGCAATTAGTGAAAAGATTGAGACCGGATCTGACAATTCGTGTGAATTTGGGAACCAACTCTCGTTTTTTAGAAACGCGAAAGGAATGAATCTAATTGAATATCAGGTTTGATGAGGGAACAATATGGTCAAAAAGTGATATATCTTTGCTATGTGATAAATTACAGGCCAGAGAAGACTTGGGCCATGCTAACGCACAAGAATCAGGATTGGAGGCACCCTTCTTCGCGGATTCAACCACAAACTACCAAGGCCCACCARAACCGTGCGACGCATCCGACACGCACCAATTTTCATGACCGAAGGATCCATCGAACACAAAAGTCGAAGTGCAGCACCGGACACAAAATGCCGTAGTACGGTACTGCACTCCGATCAGCCTTACACAACACACTCCCACCCCCGTCATTGTGCGAGAACGATGCCAGTGCCACCGATCGCAGTACGAATGAAAAGAAAGTGCAACCGTTTGGGATGAACAAATCGATCGTTGGCGTTGCCCTCTTCGCCAAACGTGCCGCGTTCTAGAGAACACACATAAGAGCGGTGCTGATGCCAAAACCAGGAAGRAATATATCGGCGGAGAGCCCTGGTAAACAGGTCGGAAATCAATACTTTTGCCGGACTTTGCATTGCCATCCTTGAGCCTGGGTCGTGATCCCGCCTTAGCCGTCGCACGTCGCTTTTTCCTCTTGGCGCTACAGCTCACCGCCGGCTTCCCCCCCGTCCTCGCCAAAGAGAACCACCGAGTGGATGTCTCCGAGGGTGGCGTTGGCCACCACTTCGCCGAGGTGCTCGAGTGCGTCGGGATTCGAAACGTTGTGGACCGACCAGCGCTCTCCATGGAAGGCACGCATCGTCATAACGAACCCCTGGGATAAGGTCAAGTCAAACGCTGTTTGGTTTCCGGCCTCGCCCCTGCTGGCTTCCGCTGTATCCACCGGGCGGAGCTCAATGTCCACGCCGCTACCGGCGGGATTGGTAACCTCCAGTGTCACGGGTGTCGAGTGATGGACCGGGACGTTCCCGGCAACCGACCCATAGGTTTGTCGCTTGCCGTTTTTGCCGCTGAAAAAGACTGTTTTCTTGATTGGCAGTCTCGAGGTGCTATCGTCCCTCTCCGAGCGGATCCTCCACTTGGACAAGTGGTCGGTCTCGCTTGTGACCGTTCCTCCAGGTGGAACACGGAAATCCACGGTTCTGTTGCCGTCCTTGGCGGTGACCACGAGGGGCTCTTTGTGCTCGTTTATAAACTCGACAGAGATTGGATCCGACTTGTACTCGTCATCGCCGGGCTCAAAGAACCAAGCATACGCTTTGGTTGTAGTGGTCCAGTCTTCGGGATTGATGTGTTCGTTTTTTCCAATACTGAATCGCTGCTTGTCCGGCAGCATGTCCTCTAGATGCAGGCAACCGGTCCGGTCGGGGTCCACCTCGTCGGAATGATAGAGCAGAGGCCGGCTTTGTTCCTCACCGTTTGCATCCTGCCCAAAAAGCTTCAGGAATCGCCTAAATGCCTCGCATTCGACATAATCCAGATGCTGATCGGGCATGTAAAAGGGGGACCGAACTATGTTTACTACCTTTGGGATCCGGCCAGGAACGTTTCCATTGCCGGCTTTGCCCTTTCTCTCCCCAAAGATCCCTCGAAAGAGGACGTCAAAGTAAAAGTCCATGGTCAGTTTTATGGTCTCCTGATCGGTTGGCACGTAGAACGGCTGGATCATGAAGGAATCCAGCAACTTGACGAGCATTTTGTCATCGTAGAGGCCGTGATCTTTGAGAAACGGGAGGTAGAACTCTATTACCATCCCTAGCTCCTCCACCATTTCGTCCTCCATCGAGGGATACAAATCCAGTGCCTCGACGATACCATTCGCCCGATCGGAAACGATTCGGTGCACCAGCGAGCTCATATCGTCGTCGGTGCTAGACGGTGGTGAAAAGGACTCGCCATACACGTAGCTCATGCTGTCGTTTTGGCAGACCTCAACACCGGCACCCTCCTCGTTGCCGATGGTGCTTTSCTCGATGAGGCGCGTCCAGTACAAAGCATCGAAATCGCACACCGCCTCTCCGTGAACCGTGTGAAAGATCCGCGTCAAAACGTCGGTGGTGTCTTCCTCGTGGAAAAAAGTCTGCAGGACGGAAAGCGCCCCCGGGGACGTGGTGGAAAAGGCGTCGAGATCTACGTCCAGAACAACGTCCTTCTGCTCGTCGCCATCGGCGTCGAGCAATTTCCGGATCGATGCGACCGCGCCCTCGTAAGGGAGGGTGGTAAACCGGACGGTGCGAATCGGCTCCCCGCCGCTCATCTTCAGGAGCACGGCGTGGGGAACAACCTTCACCGACTCGTCCTCGTCGTCCAGGGCATAGGCAACATCCAAGAGTATATCCTTTGTGACGGGTGTAGAAAAGGTGGTTCTGTCCGAGTTCCGGAGGCTCGCGTACAGGATCCTTTCGTCCTCGTGGTCTTTGTTGTCGACGAGCACCATGCTGATTTCGATCGTTGTGTAGTGGGCCTCGTTCAGCAGGAAGGACCAGGGCGGTTCGACAAAGACAATGTGTTCGACGATTCCCATGTATCCCAGCAGCAGAAGAAAGTCGTTGATCACCGAGTGCTCGATGAGCTGCAGCGCGGTCGCGGTTTCGAGGGAGGGGAGGACGGTCCGGAGGTTTCTAGATGGTATTTCCAAGAGGCCGACCGTCAGGCCCATGTCCGCGTGGCTGTCGATGTGCACGAGGGTTGCCCCGTTGGGATTGATCTCGGCCTCGACGGAGGCCTGATCCGAGTGGGAGCGGAGGGTTCCGTCCCTCGCGAACTCCACCAGGTGGGAGACGACGTGGTTGTGGTCCTCCACCAGGACGTACTTCGGAGCCGAGGCCTTTGCTTCTTGCTGGGCATCTGCCGTGGTGGTCCATGAAACAAACGACGCCAGCCACATCAGCAAGATTGTCCGGACGAACGACGGCAGATTCTCCTTCCGTGTTCGTTGGTTCGACACCATGGTGCTTGATTCGTGTGCGGCGTCGAGACTCTTCGATTTTGGGAAGGGGGGCACTCGTATTTGCGACAGAATTCGTCGATGGCTCTGCACAAAAGGTCAGAAAACAACACAGCCCAGGCTSCGCTTGCTCAAAGGTTTGGCTTTTGTTCTTTGTTCTTTGTTTTTTGTTGACCGGGTTGGTGATTTCTTCTTCCTTGTTTCTTCGCTTATTTGTCAGCAGATCCTCTTGTGGAAGTCTTTGTTGTCTATCGAAGCGTCGCCTTCTTCGAATCCGCTTGAGAATGCAGCGGGTGTGGTAATAAAGTAATACAATTAGTAAAGAAGAAAGCAACAACGGAGTTCTGTACAACTGCGAGTAACGTGCTTCTATTCGTTGAGACATCTCAGTCTTGACAATCTCGATCTAAACCCATTCCCGCGTCGAATGACCCACCGGGAAAAATCGATGTTTTCTTTCGAGGTCTGTCCATGCGCGCTGGCGCGCCAAATCAACGGTCGATTTTCCCCATACTATTGATCAAAGATCGGTTTCTGCGACGTGGTTGGAAGCCGTTGTGGATCGAATGCACGGATACTACGATGGGAACATGGGAACTGTCGAAGTGTAACATTCCAAGAAACAAAAACATCGTTTTTTTGATGATTCGTCCCCTCTGAGGATTTCTTGTCGAAACGGGATCTCAAATTCCTTCTTCGACACAAGATCCATCGTTTTCACCGGTCACTACAGAGGCGAGCAAACATTCCGTCCCCATTTCAGAATCTGACCGAAAAGATAGGAAAGCAAAGGTGAAAGAGAGATCCCGAGACAGAACAACGGAAAAGGAAAACAACACAACACAATGCCCCCAGTTCTCGATCCAGAAAACTCAAAGGTCGACGGCCTTGCTTTTCTTGGTCTATCCCTGGCTCGAAACCATTACTGGGGAGATATCGATAGCGAAGAACCTCAGGGAGAAGAAACGAAGCCACAAGGACTCGGGCATCCCGATTCGTACACACACCAGACGGCCTTTGATTTGAACGAGGTGATCGATCGAGAGTACGAGTTTCTCCAGTCCACCGACGACAATGGATGGTAGGTTTGTGCAAGAGTCCTGTCTTTGCAGGGAAATCTCTAGCTTTGCCACACAGAGTGAAAAAATGAGCCGCTGTTCTCTTTGCTTTCCTCGCATGCCTTTCTCATTCGCCGCGTTCTCTGTTTCCGGTTCCAAACCAGGCTCGTCGGAGGAGGAGAAGCCGGTCCGCCCACCAGCTACAAGCTGGCCGCCCTGGATTCCGCCCACGTGGAGATTATGAGGGTCGGAACCTACCGCAAAGACTGGGGTGGCCTCGACCTGGAGGAACTCCTCGCCGTGATGAACTCGGGATCCATCCTGGTTCCCCAGATCGAGGTTCTCCCGACGGACGTGGTGGCCAATCCCGATACACCGCCCGAGCTCGAGATCCGGTTCGACATGGAGTGTGCCTCGGARGCCCAGCTCAAGAGCCTCTCGGAGGGAGACTTTGACGCGTTCATGAAGGAACCGGAACTCCCGATCAACTGGCAGCTGCGTTTTCTGCACAACCAGTTCTTCAAGACCTTTGTGTTTCCGAGCCGCTTCTGCCCCGGTGCCTTTCACTCGACGATTCTCCGCAAGGCCGACTTTCGCTCGGACGCCCACCGGACGCTCTACTTTTGCAAGTGCGCCGCCGCCATCCAGAAGTGGCGGGAACGGGGTCCGCGGGCGCTCAACACGGTGCCRCGGCACCCCGACGGAAAGCCCCTCTCGAAGGAGGAGATTGCCGCGATGTACCCGGAGCCCGAAAGCGGGGAGCACGACCCGCCGCTGCGGGCACCGAGCGACGAGGCCCCCTGCAAAGTGGAATCCCAAGCAACAGCCGAACCCGAAGCAGAAACGGGAGCAGACACGGAAGCCGGAACGGAAGCCGAACCCGAAGAGGAGAATTCGTATGTTCCGTCCCCGCCACCCACAGAGGAAGAGACCGAAGCAATGGCCAAACTCGTAAAGAAGCTCGAGGACTTGACGCCCCTTCCACCAAAGGCAACCACCGCCCTTCCATCGGTAAATCTGGAGATCGCACTGGATGCCGAAGAAGAAGAAGAAGAAGAAAGCACAGCGGCCGAACCCGAAGAAACCCAGGAGACAACGAACACGGCCGGTTCCACCGAGGGTGGTGACCTACCTACGACCGATGGCTTGTACCGGCATACGTGGGACGATGTGGTCCGCGTTCGTTTGGACGATGCGTCCAAGGATGACGCAGCGGCCGGGGTGGATGTTGACCCGGCTACCATCGGCAGCAACAAAAGCAGGAACTGCCACAGCGGAATATGGCTCTTTACGGACCGAGAAAACATTACCCATTTCTTCCAACCCAATTTTTTGCCTCCCTACGATACCCCCGAGAAGAAAAGAATCATCTTTGACGTGCTGAGGGAAGAGTGGGACGAGAAGAGCCTCGGCTGGAAGCCGTGCGGACAGGGGAGCATGAGCCAGGAAAAACCGGAGGACGACACGGGCCTCCTTGCGGAGCTCCAAAAGGCGGAGAACCTGGTGAGCGGCGTTCTGAAATCGGTCATTGACAACGTGTGCTCCCCGCAGCCGTCTCCCCGCAAGCTCAGCTCGGCGGCACATTTTTAGCGATCTCAACAGCAGCGGTACAGCACACGCCGTGCTCTAGCGGAGCACAGGAGGGTTTGAATCGAATTCAAGACTGTCATTGGTACCGGGTTTCGCCTCGGTTTCATCTAACACTGCACGCTGCCGCAGGGCAAGACGTCCACCAATGGTTGAAAAATTACCAAGCTATGAACCAATAACTATGTTACGAAGTAATAGCTAAAAAATTGTAATATATAATACATGACTGGCAAAAATGTGCTGATTCCCATAGCACAATCTCTTTATTGTATCAGTAATGCACGAATGGCAATTTTCTACATACTCCCACGCTCTTAGTAGCACTGCATTCTGTCTAGACTTCTTGTTTTTTTCCTTTGTAAATGACCTCTTCATGAAAAGTGGAAAAGATGTAGTAGCAGACAAAGCTACTACTAGTATGTATATCATTCTCATCAACATCATTACCATTCTTTTTCTCGTATGTTTTGGCTGCAGGATGCCCTTCTTTGATTTCATCTCCATCAAAACCTTTTTTGCTTTTTTGGCTTGGGCTTAAAACTGTGTTTCCGCGCCCTCCTCTAACAAAGAAGCGCCCTATTCCAAAGAAGCAATGACGTCACACACCAAGAACCAAAGGGAAATCTGCATAGTACGAAGTAGTACTTCTAGCTTTTCTTTGGATTTTTGTTATTTCTTTTATTTCCACAAAAGAAAGAACTTTTCAGCCATTCCTTGTTTGTTCCGTCATGATGAATCATGCCATCCTTTTCCTTTACAATCTGATTGTCTGTTCAACAGTTGCTTTAAGAAGATAGTAGTAGTAGTACTAGCTGGGGCACAGATTCAGATTAAAGCCATGTCTGGTAGCTAGTGCAAGAAGTTCATGAATATTGGATCCATATTGCTTGTCAGGCTACTGCTTGGAGAGCAGGAGGAATCTGTTTTGCTCTGATTTCCAGTAGTAGTAGGTGGATAGTTCCTCAGTTGCTAGTAGTACTAGCACATTGATGAGCAAGTACTACTAGTAGTAACAAAACCTGCAAAACCACCAGAAGAACGCCTACTACTACTAGTAGTACTAGTACTAGTACTAGTATCCTCCCAGGAAAAATTTTGGTAGCTTATCCTGGATGATGATGCCTTGCTGCCTGACATTGTGTTTGTTTGGTAGACACTGTACTATGATACTGCTATTAGTACTGGTGGTATAATCTATATTCAGAGTGGTGGTGACTCACTCAACTGTACCTCCTGTTGTACTTCTTCTGACTGCTGTGTACACCACCACATTGACCCCCCTGTTCCTTGTTCTTCTTGTTACACTCGTCCTGCTATTTTTTGGAAAACTTTTCATCAAAGAGGTAGCATGACATGTGCATGAGGAGAGGGGGGGGGGGGGGGGGGCATCACAATCATCAGTTTGTGTCTTTTTGCTGAAAAGTTTGCTGTCCTTGCTGCTGTATTTTTCAGCCTCCTCCTCCTCCCTCTACTTCTTTGTGTGTTCTTGTTGTTGTTCTTCTTGCTTCTTCTTGGTGGTACTATCATGTTTTTGCTCCTCCTCTTGCTTGGAGTGATGTTGTTCTTCATTGGCATGTTCTTCCTTGCCGTCTGCTTCTTGGTCTGTGTCAATGCTGGTTCTTGTCACTAGTAGTAGTAGTCTAGTCTCTTGCTAATTATCTGTCGAAGGTTAGGGTTAATCTGCATTGGATTCGGGTCCATCGAATCGAAATCCAATCGAGTCGAGTCAGTCAATTAGATTTGAATCAAAATTCAACGCAACAACCCAACACAGCACGACGAAGCTTTAGAGGGCGTTGCGTGCGGTTTTTCTCGTAGCACAACACCACAGTACTAGAAACTACGACATTTTCCGTAGGAATTGCCCGTCATAACTATCCCTCAAATTGAGGCATTGAGGGTCGGCACTACTACGAGTACGAGTACTTGTAGTGTAAACATCAATACAGTAATTACAACTCGCAGGAGTATTATTCTTATCCTTTTGAACCGGATCAAGGGCCGGTCCATTTGGAGGCAACAGTAAAGCGCCAATACCATTTTCTTATCCAAAAACCTTGTGCTCCTTCTCCGGTAGCAGCACCGGAGACAGATCCTTCGAAACTGGTGGAAGAATCGCTCCGGATCTCTTGGATCGTCCCTTACTGCATTTGTTTAACGTCGCTTCCCCGGCCAGAACTTTGATAGACCACCAAAGGACCACCGTCTAGCTAGAACATAATGTCGTCCTCCTTCMAACTGAACGATCCCGTTCAGGTGAATCTGAAACCGGGCAGCACACCCTCGAAAGCCGGATCCAAGAACAACGTGGTCGATGGAGTCGTGGCCTGCCTGGGCCCCGTGGAGTTCAACACCGACGATGACTGGATCGGGGTCCGCCTCACGGGAAACTCGGTCGGGCTCGGAAAGAACGACGGAAGTGTCAAGGGAAAGAAGTACTTCGACTGCCCCCCCAAGTGTGGGGTCTTTGTCAAGGCCGCGGCCGTTTCCAAGCGGAACCTGACCCGCCTGGAGGAGCTGAGGCTGCGCCGGGAGCTGGCCAGCAGCAGCGGCGGAGGGGCGGAAGCCTCTGCGGCTGCTCCGGCCCGGACTCCCTCCCGGAGGACCATCGGTGGTACCACGGGGATTCCGCAGACACCCCGGTCGGCTTCGAGCCGGGCGGTGGGGGCTGGAAGCTCTGCCTCTGGGATTCCGTCCAACAGCCGGGCCTCGGTGGCTTCCTCCTCTTCGCCTACGGAATCCACCGGCGAGCTAGAGCAGCAGGTCCGGGACCTCACGGCCCGGCTCGGCGAGGBCCAGAACAAGCTCTCTCAGACGCAGGAGGAAAGCGCGGACCAGAAAACCAAAATCAAGGGCCTCGAAAAGGAACTCAAGGCGGCCAAGGCGGCTGCTGCGCAGAAGCAGTCCCCCCCGACGCCGGGGAGTGAAGCCAACGAGGCCGCCGCCTCGGAGGCCGAGATTGCCCAGCTACAGACCCAGGTGGAGGATCTCTCCCGAAAGCTGGACGAGTCTCAGAAACTCTCCGAGCAGTCTCTCGACGAGCTCCAGACCAAGTTCCAGCAGTCCGAGGTGGAACTCGCGGCCGCCAAGGCCCAGGTGACGGGCCTCGAGAAGGAACTGGCCAGCCGGGACCGCGAGGCCGAGGACGAGGCAAAGTCGCGCTCCTCCGAGACGAACCACTACAAGGAACGTGCGAGGCTCCAGGCGGACGTGGCCAGCCTCAACCGGCGGGTGGAACAGCTCGAGCTGGACAAACAGGAACTGGAACACAACGTCGAGGACCTGGCTCTCGACAAGGAACAGCTGGCGGAGGAGAAGGAAGCCCTGGAAGACCGCATGGAGGAGCTCAAGCTCGACTACGAGACCAGCTCCATGGAACTGGAGGAAACCAAGATGGAGCTAGAGGACGCCCGCAACCGCATGGAGGCCAGTGCCGCTCGGGCGGCGGCGGCCGAGGCGGGGGGGAATGCCCTCGCCGCGGCAAGCGGGGACGACGCCGAGGGGGGAGAAGACCAGGCCAGGGCGGACCTGGCCCACAACCTCTCGATCCAGAACGCGCGGATGCGCGAGGCCCTCATCCGGCTGCGGGAGCAGTCCTCCATCGAAAAGATGGACCTGACCCGCCAGCTCCGGACGGCCGAAAAATTCGTCGAGGAGTCCACGAACCTTGCCACGCAGGTCGAGAACCTCCGGGAGACGAACAAGGAACTGGAGGAGCAGATACTGGACCTCAAGGACATGGTCGAGCAGGGATCCGCCTACGAGATCATGGTGGAGGACCTCAGCGATCGGGTACTCAGCCTGGAGGAGGAACTCTCGTCGTCGCTGCAGATCATCCGGGAGATGGAAGAGGCCGCCGAGATCACTGCGGAAATGGAGGAGGTCCAGGCGGAGGAGCTCAAGGCCGTCAACCGGGACATGGAAGACCGGGAAACACTCATCCGGAACCTCGAGGAGGCCATCAAGATGTAAGTTTTGGAGTCGGGTTGCACTGCGGTGTGTTGCGTTGCGCTGTCGTCGTCGTCGTTGCGCAYGAGTAACGATAAATCGTTCCACTGCGACACAAAAGTCTCACCTGATCTACGCTCGTCACAAAACCATGATACATTGTCTTTTCCTGTTGTGATTTCCATTCATTTCAGGCAACGAAAGCGAGAGGAAGACTTTCAGAGAACCGTTAGCAACTACCGCAAGTCGGTGGAAACACTCAAGCAGGAAAAGAATGCCCTATACGAGCTGCACCAGGGAGGCGAAGGAGAAAAGTCGGACCTAGCGTCCGCTTCCCAAAAGGCACTGGCCCGCGCCGCTCAGCTCGTACAGGATGCGGCCGAGATGCGAAAGCGAGAAGCGCAGGCCGCCATTGATCGCATCGATTCGCAGGTGCGAATGCACCTCTCCAACAGGTTGGAAAGCCTGCTTCCCCCCTCCGTTTCGGCCGCCGAGGTGGCCTCCATCAAGGGAGAGCTGCTTCTTTCCAAGGTCGTTGGAAAATCCTCGTTGTCCCTGGACGGAATCGCTCGTTCCTTTGCCAAAACGATTCGAGCCAGGGCCTGGGAATGGCGGTCCAACAACAAAGCCGATGCCGAAGAAAAGGAAGAGGAGCAAGCCGTCGTAGAAGAGAAGATGCTCTCGCTCACAGACGAGCAGCAGCAAATGGCCGCAACAATGATTCACCAGTCGGAGGTCGCTCATGTTGCGATCGATGTAAGCGGAGATCTTCTTTGGCTTTTATCCGCGGGCCAGTGGCCGGACATTCTTTCGACCGAGGCTTCTAGCGAACTCGGATCCATCATGGGGCATTCCATGAACGAACTCGACATTGTCTTGGGAAGTGTTTTGAACACTCTCAAGGAAGAGGGCGTTCTCTCCCCCCACCAATCGAATATTGGGGCCTTTAGACAGACAGTCGTCACCACCATGCAAACCCTGCGCTCGCACATTGAACAAGACGGAGAATCCCTCGTTCCCATGGACTGGAAACCAGCAGCCCTCAAGCTCTTTCGCGATGCCTCGCGAGCGAAGTACTCCAGTCTGGGCTGCTACGCCGCTGTGGCGTGCGTTCTGAACGCGGGTGATGCCATTAAATCCGACGAAGAAAAGCTYAAATCACAGGARTTCGTCGCCGTTTTGAAACCCCTSTTGCGAAAACTAGACCAGGCTGCTTCGGAGGCCGCAAAATCGTGCCTGCGGCTTGCCAAGCTCGATGTCCTCGACGAGACAATCGTTTCCWGTCTCTCAGAGGCCGCCGAGATCTGGAGATCGTCGTCCGATGATTTGTTGGGCAATGTRTACAACATGCTCCTGGCAGAAGACGGACTCGGTCCGGAAAGCATTGGTGCCTGCGAGGCGGCGACGGACGAAGTGGTGAGGGTTGTCTCCCACTTTGCTACYGTCTTGAGATCCGCCAATCTCACGGATGCCGACGACAACAAGTTCCACCCCTTCTCTCCGGAAATTGCCGATGTATGGGAAGGAGTGACTATGCTTGCACGAGCCACCCGCGCCAAGGACGGAGACGAGGACGACATCAATTACCTCGTGCGCGCCAAAAACATCGAGAACAGCCTCGAAGACGCGGTCGAGTCTGTTCCCGAGCTGTCTCTGGCRAAGGCCAAGGTTGCSAGCCTYGAAAAGAGCCTGGCCCTTCGATCGAAGGAAATTTCCATGCAAAATGCACGACTGTCCGACCTGGAGAAGATGCTGGCGAGATCGAATGCCCAGCCATCTGCGCGTCTCGTAGCGTCGCAGGCCTCCACCGAGGAGGTCAAGTCTCTCAAAGAAGAAAACCGTGTTCTCACGGAAGCCATGGACGTCATGCACAGACAGGTGGAAGAATACGAAAACGAAATCCGTGCCAGAGATTCCAAAACACCCACCAAGGCTCGACGATCGAGGCGGCGTTCGTCCCTGACCCCGAATTCGTCGATGCCGGCCCGAGACGCGAGTCGAAGCCTGAGCCGTGACAGCGGCAGCGAGAGGGGAGAAGACGGAATCACGAGTGCCTTTGAAGCGGCTCTTTTCCGCCCTGCCCTGCAAGCTGCTCGACGCGATGCCGCGCAATGGAAGACAAAAGCCACCATCAACACCTTGCTAGAATTGCCTCGACTCAGCGTCCCGATGCAATCGAACCCTTTCGGCGAGGGCGAAGAGAAGGTTGCRGACGACGAAGACTGCAACCCACTCTTTCAGCTTTCTTCGGCTCTGTCGTCCTACCAGCGTGAAACCGCATCGGTGCGCATTGTRGACATCACCAAGACCTCCGGGAAGACCCCACGAATGCAGCTCCGCGACACCATGTTGAGAAAGGCAGCCGCTTCGGAACAGGTCGACAAGGCCGCAGCGGCCGCCCKGCAATGGCTAGAAAGCCGCGGAGCCGGATTCCCGCAACCGGACACATCGACGAAGCCACTAGTTGGACGAGTGAAATTTGCCGGTCCCGAACCAGTCCGAACGATTCCCACGCCGGCTACCGGAGAAGATTTGTATCGGATTCAGCTCCATCTAGCGAAATAAAAGCTTTAAAAGGGGCCTCTTTTTCGAATAGTTGTACTTATCTAAATTACAAGAATAGTTATCAAGGTGACAAATTATCTACACCTACGTGCGTGTGTCGGTCGCGAAAAGTTGCCAGACCTACTTTTCGAAAACAGCCGAGTCAACGCTTGCCATCCTACCATCATCAGGCTTTGGTGCTGTGTTCATTCTTTCGCTCKACACCTGCCAAAGAACCTGTATTTGTTTTTGAATAACCACCGTCTGCTCTTTCTGCAAAAGCCACTAGAGCATTGGCTATCCTTCCGGCAGATCCTGCCTTTTCTCCTGCCCYTTCGTTCCTTTTCTGTAGTGGGAGCAATAGTTGGCGGGACGGACGGAAAGGATGTTGGGAAATAGGTTGGATAACCTGTCGGAGAGTTCGTTGGGATCGTGCCRAACTCCCCTACCCAGTAATCAAAGGTCATGATGCGCCCCGACTCGCTAATGTCCGTGATGTGTACATTGGAGCGAACWATGTTTCCGCCTTGATAGGAGTCGGTGTTTGGATATTGGCAATCGTGTTTCCGTCGGCAAGGAACGAGCTCATCCACGTCGGACGCGTGAAAGAGATCTTCGTAGTCGCCAAAGTTGAAGCCCATTTCCAAGTCATAGTATCCGTCTGCCTGGAGTAGCGCGACCGCGTAGTGGTTCCCGTTTTCTGGCCATCCCTCCTGAGCGGGGTAGCCCTCCCTGCTCTGGCGCATATAGACATCCCAGATGTTGTACGATTTCGTCGATCCATAGTCGATGTGCCAAATAGCAAGTCCGCCCTGTGGCAAGTACGCATCGTAACCGACTGGTTGGCGGTTTTCGATCAGCAAAAATTCGCCCTCCGGAAAACCTTCCTGAATGATGTAAACCTGTGGTTGAAAAGGATTTTGCTCTGCAGCTGCCTCTATTATATTTGTTCCAGGAGTAGGTTCTATTGGTGTAACCCAGCCCAAGATCATTTTTGCCCATGCCGACATGTAGGGCGGATGGAGCTGCTGACCGTTTGAGCCCCATGAATTTGCCATCAAGCCATAATTCCCAACACCTCTGCTGCTCGAGTCGTGGTCATAAAGATCTGGCAGGCCCAAAAAATGAGCCATTTCGTGAGCTAGTACCCCAATGCGTCCAATCCGTGATCCATCTAACCCCCATAGACCCGATGAAATATGATAGGTGCTAACTCGAACGTTGCGCCCCTTTTTGCTCTGAAATTGTTCGTGATACAAACTCCATTTGTGCGACCATATACGTTCTTCGTAGAACCTACCGTAAAAATCGGTCCCTCCAAGCTCGGCCGCGTATCCCGAATGAATGAAAGTAATAGAATCAATATAGCCGTCTCGATCCTCGTCGAAAAAGTCAAAATCGACTTTGTTGTAAACACTCACGCCATCGACTATCCTCCCATCCACGTAGTTGAGAGCGTATCGAATGGCATCCTGGATGCGAGTTGTCGTACCTTTGTCACCATTCGAATAAAATGCCTCGGTGTTATCCATAGGAATCCAATCGGTCACATACGAATCAACCTCCAGTGCACCGTATGAATTTTCTAAGAAGACGTCTCGAACTGATCCCGTAGGACAAAATCGAGCATTGGGACCCCTGTTATTCATCAGTACTTCATAATCTTCTCGGCGCGGGAGCACTCGATCATTGTGATCTGACCACTTCAGGAGTAGGACAAGATTCCGGAGGCGGACCTTTTTACCGGGGCCATCTCCATGTCTCTTCGCGTAAGTTGAAGCAACAAAGCTGGTGGCTGTGTTTGTGCTCGGGACCGAATTTGTGCCACGAAGACCCTGTAGGATATTCTCTTGGTGGTTGTCGCCGCGCTCATCGTGCTCGCCACATATCTTGTCTCGACAATCGCGCTTGGTGGGGCGAATGTTCTTTTGTTTGTTGAAAGAAGAAATCGTCGTGATGACAGTACCATTAACAGTTGTGCTTGGAGACGATTGTGTATCTACGACCGAATCAGAGTTTGAACTTGGCGGCAGCTTCTGATGACCTTCCTCTTCTTCAAAAAAGACTTCCCTCTCATCATCGTTGCTGTCCCTAACGATTTCGGACGATGGCTCGAGATTGCCATTTCCATCAGGCTGCGCATAGACAAAAAATCCAGTGGCAGAATTTTTTACAACGGTATAATCATGCTCGTCGGTCATCCAAGCATCGTGGGGATCGCCATGGAGACGCAAAGTGATGTTCGTTCCATCCGGCTGGGTTTCGATAAAACTTCCCAGGGGATTGGCCGGCATTCCATGGATAGCAGGGGCGGCAAACAGTACCGTTGAAAGCGCAAAGCAAACGGTGAAAGAACTGATAATCTTCATCTTCTTGGAGGCGAGTCGTTGATTTCAATTGATGACGGTAAGCTTTTTTCGAGATTATCCTATCTCTTCCGATGCACTGTTCGCGTCTAGGACAATCGACATCTCCTTTTACTAGAAAGTAAGGATGCGCTAGAGTGGAGGTGAAATGAGTTCCATCATCATCGCAACGCTTTGACGTTCGCAATCATATCGGAAAGTTGTTTTCATGGAACTGGTTCATTTTCGCATGGTGTTTAGATATGGCGGCAAGGGCAACCATCGTCGATATCTGCCTTGATCAAAGGAAAACCAATACACTTCTTTTTGACCTAAACTCGTTTTCTTTTCGCGTGACGAGGTTCATTGAAGAAGATACCGACATCGCAGACTTTTCTGTGATAAAACAAAAAGATCGAAACCGCCTGGTTTGGGAATTTCAAACAATTCGCGGGTTCGGATCAGAAATTGTTTTCTGGATCACGAGTAAACGAGAGCATGTCAGTCACGAGCACGCTCAAACTAGTCATTTTTTGAGCGCGAACTAGATTTGAACGTCGTTTGTTTTTGCGATCGGTAAAATCCACGAATGATAATATTTCATTGAGTCAAAACGGATAGATTATCAAGTTATGCACGCTTGCCTAATTTGTCACAAGTTTTTTTACATCTAAGTACCATCGGCATATTTGTGGCGCGGCTGGTGCAGATGGAGTCTTACATGCATACCTTTTCACTTAATTTTCGTGCTTTACAAACTAAAGTCCACAACGAAAAATTGGAACTTGAGTACCGTACGGTACGTTTTACGTATGTGTGAGAAGTACGAGTACCCGTAGCAAATAACCTTGCTTAGTTGGGTACGTATTACTTCTACACTTAACGTAGTAACAATGCATATGAAACTGGTTACATGTGAATTGGCTCCGACCGAAATTTCATGTTGTTTCGAGTTCTGATGCCAAAGCCTCCATCGCTTGCATTTGGGACCGGAGTATTATCGAACTATTTCGTCAAGGCATCCCAGGTTCTAGCTGATCCTGTTGGTATCTTACTTTAAGAATACTCTCCCAAAAACAAGTTTCTGATAAAACCTCCTATGACTCGACGGAAGGTAGGCTACTAGAGGGGCTTGATAATATTACCTTCCCGGCACCAGTCAAGGGATCGAGCTGGAGAATATTTCTTTGTGGTTTGCGGTAGCGATGATGCGACGGCTCGGTTTGAAGAGGGAAGAAGATTTGCAGGAGCAGCAAAAGAAGGGGAGCAGAAACCATGAACAAAACCAATATCAGTCCCCCCCTCCGAATCGAGTTCCAGCCTCTCCCTATTTCGATGACGACTGTCACCATTCAGAGAATGATTCCAGTTTTAACTTTGATGGTTCTCATACCGAATTTCCACAAAGTAGCAGCAACAAATCTTTAGATAACTTTGGTGACGCCGAAGACTATATCAACACCATGGCCGGTGGCATTCAAAGCAAGGGATACTACCAATCTTTTGTGATGGAATCCCCTCCATCCATTAGAACAACGCCGAGAGACGGTGTCGGAAATCTGCATCATAGGCATAATCATCACAACAACGCCCACATGACACCTGGTCAGGAAACTGGTCCCCACTTCAAACACAACTTTTACGATGACGAATCACCCATGMATCGKCTTATGCGGCAACGACAATTTCTCTCGCCACACAAACACCATGCTATCCAACAACTCAATGACAATCCCTATCATCACCAGAAATTCTCTCAATCCCTTCTTTCATCGCTTGGTTCCGCTCGTGTGGTCCGATGGTGTTTTTTAATTGCTCTGTCCCTCTATTTGGTCATCCTCTTTCGATCAACGTCGGACTTGGGTAGTCATTCACGAATGAATTACGATTTTATCATGGGGAACATGTACGATATTAACTGTTTTTCCGGTTCGGGATATACTCGGGGCATTGGTTGTCAACAACCGACTCCATATTGGTACAAGGAGCAGATGAAACAGGCAGAAGATGCACTTTTGAAACGAGAAACGAGGAAAATTAAGCGTCGAGGTCGTACGAAACTGCCTTTGCTTTCTCGCGTCAAGAAGAGCAAAGTCAGCGTTGATTGGCACAACGTCGAGTCTCTCGACGAAAATCAGAACCACAAAGCGAATGATTTCAAAGAAGTCAATAGCGATGATCTAGATACTGCTTCAGTCGACATGCTGTGTGGCTACTCGGCACAAAACAGTTCGCTGGTGTCTCCCGAATCATACCCAGCGAGTGCAGCGCTGAATGAAAATTCTAGGGTCATGATCACTGGCATCTTGAATCCGATAGGACTGGCTTTAGCTCTGCGGCTCAAACAAGAATGTGGCGTTCAGCATGTCTGGGGGGTAGATGCCATGTATCCGAACACGGTTCTCAACAGGCTAATGGTACACGAACGTATGTTATTGCTCAACTCGAATTCGGACGACTCGGATTCTACGAGGCAAGTAGTTCTACCTTACTTGGGACTCGATCCCAAATCAAAAAAACTTACTAGTAAAAGTGGTGAAGAACCAAGGAAGCTGTCCTTGAAAGATGAGATGTTGTGGATGCGAGGTTTTGAACCAACCCACGTCGTTCATTTGGCATCGTACTCAATGGATGCTTACAGCGATACCCTGATCGATCCAAAATGGAAAAACACCCACTCGCCGTATATTCCTAATGATTACGCAACATCTTCAATTAAAGGCGAGATAGAGGAAGAGATCGAACCCTACATGTTTCCTTTGAGATCTGGAATGGTGGCCATGGAACAGCTATTGCAAACGATGGCAGAATTTTCAGAGGAGGACCGGCCACAGTTTCTGTATACAGCAAATTCCAAAAACTTCCCTGGCAGCTATGGTAAAGTTTTCCATGCAATGAAACAGATGGACGAGTTGCTGGTTGATACCTACCACACTGGGCACAATGAGAAGTTACCATCGATCGGGTTGCGACTTCCTAATTCTATTTATGGTCCATGGGGACAACCTGGATCAGTCATGCACGATATGCTCGAACGTATTGTAGAAGAGAATGGAGGGAAAACTACGAATAGTACTGCGGGGATCAAAAAGAAGATGGATGGAAGTGACAACTTGGATCTGCTCTATGTCGACGACGCGGTGGATATAATAATATCTGCTCTCCAACATCGATCCGATAAACCAATGAAACTAGACGTTCCGCCGGAAAGAACGTCTTCAATAGAATCTCTTTCTTCCGCTGCTAGTTTTCTTTTGCGTGACGATTCCACTGGTCACCAATTATCGGGAGATGACCAAAGCCCCCAGATAGAGAAAACTAAAGAAGCATCACTGATCCTTCCGAAGACGCAGAAAACGACGCTAAAGGATGGCCTGGTAAAAACTATTGCATGGCATAAGGATCGCTTGTCACCTTTTGGCCCAGCTGCTAGATCGGATGAAGACGAAGAGTCTCCTGCTGAGAAGACAAGATTTGAAACGGGAGATGACTTTTTGCAGCGACACAAAATGAAAACTTGCGGTCCATACGATACTGATTGTCACAAAAACAACGATTACTTGCCCTGTAATTCTGAGTGCAACATTCACGATCAATGCCTACCGAGCGTCTTTGATGGTGTCCAGGACTTGCTCTATGATATTTCGGAAGGTTGCGACGTTGTAATGTACACTCAAATGATGGGATTCAACGTTGAGGACGCTGAGTTGCACGCCGAATATATGGATGATAGTAATTTGGATGACAATGAACTATTGGTGTGCAACTTTGCCATCGTTCCGCGTGAGTCCGATTTGGTGACCCTCGTATCCAGCAAAGTTCCAATGGAGCAGCTAGATAAATTTGGTATCGAGCATGATAATGGTAGCACAAACATGAAGGCTTTCAAAGAAAAAAAACTTGATGGTTTGAATGGACGACTACTGTACAGGGGTTGGGTCCTTGTTTGGGTCAAAGATGGAATGCGAGAATTGAGTGTTCCGGATGCATCGCTGCTAAAATTATCTCCGTCAAAATTCTTTCATCCCAATGTAAAATATGGTCTCTTTGTCGAAGATAACTTTAAGGTCTCGCCCAATTTGGATGATGTTTTATTCTTGGTAGACCAAATGCACCGCAACAAGTTGAACGATCGCACCCTGAAAAAGGAAACAGAAATCGAAACTCCGAATGGCCCCATCATTCAAAAGGTGAAGTATCACATCCCAGCAGAGCCAGCGCGACGAGCAGCCATGTTGTTTGCTCCTCTCCGCTACCCCAACATTGATGATCCTATTGTCGAGCAATACCGCGGGGGTCGTCGGCAGCTAACAGTGAATCACGCTGCCAAGTTCATGAGTTATGAAGTCGGGTACCAACCCGGTGATAGAGAATCGGCTTCGCATCGACGCCAAAGGGAATTTTATGAACGGATTCCGGGAGTTGTCAATAGAAATACAGAGCTTCGGTCAAACTCTGAGCCATGGTATCGTTACTCCATGAGGCACTGGGTTCGTTCCCGTTGGGTGCTGCATGATTTCACCCTTGAAGACTCTCGTTTGTTGCGCTGTGATTGGTATCAAGAACACGTTCAATGGGGCAACGATCTAGATCAACTTTCGTTCGCGAAGGTTATGGCAGTCCGTGATCTGAAGCGCCGATTGGCACACCAAGAACMAGACGACCGCATCAAATCATTTATTGAGAAGCACCCGGAGCTTCATGGTCTGACGGATTCATACGAATGGCATTCTATGGAAACCGAAGTCAATAAGTTATATCGCGAACCCACCAATTGGGATTCGAAACCTCCTCCATCGACTCAAGTTGCAGCGAACGCAAACGAAGAATTAGAAGAGAACAGCTTGGACGCCAACGATACACCGCTCTATGTGCGCATCATGTCGGAAAGGGTCATGGCAACATCGAGAAAGGTTTGGGCCAAAATGAGAAAGAAACTTGCCAAAGCTAAGAAAGAAAGGCAAGCTGAATAAGCACACAATCATACAATGTTACAATTTGTTATAAAAATAGAGAGAATACAAAATTTACTGCTTTTTCGAAGTGAAAGTGTTGGTCGTGGGGTAACTTATTTCAATTACAGTCGTCCACGATTTTGTAGCTTCTCGAAATACAGACGTATTCGTAGGGATCTCTCCTTAATAATCAACAAACGCACATGTCCGGAATAGAAACTATGTGTAATATTCAGTGTCGAGAGTGATCAATTGTTTCCGACTTACTAGCAGCAATTAGAAAAGAAAGAACACAACATTCTTTCCGATTGGTAATCCATGAACTCTTCGTGGAAAAAATACTAAAATATCTATGAATATCTATGAGCCATTGTATTAGCGGTGTGGATGGATTGGACGCAAATGCATGCATAAGAGCAGGTTGTGTCTCACACGCGCGGCTTCCGTTCGGAAGGAGCGTGCAATGGTGATGCAGAGCCTGCATGATTCGTTCAGTGTCAGGAGGCAGTGCGTGGTGCGTACGTAATTCTCGGCTCAATTATTTTAGTACAGGTTGCCATCGCTCTGCGTCGCCCTTAGCTTGTGGCGGCAATCCGTCTCCTCGATCTCGGAGGATCGCTCCCGTTCTCCCCTCCTCTGCTTCTGGCGCTTCCGCTTGTCCCTATCGTCCTGGTTCGTCACCCGCAGCAGGGCCTTGTAGGCCTCGTTCTTCCAGTCCGTCGTACAGACGACCACGACGGCAAGGAGGAGCATGTGGCACCAGGTCCCCATCGTCATGCCGGCCACCAGGCCCACGTCGCCGCAGAGGACCATGCTGGTCCCGCACAGCTCGTCGTCCCCGCCGTTCCGGTACAATCCAAAGTAGTAGGCCAGCGGTACGCCAACCACCCAGTAGGCCACCACGACGATGGGAACAACGATTCTCTGCCGGCCGCAGCCCTTGATGATTCCGTTCAATCCCGTCTGGACGCCGTCGGCAAAGACATAGATCGCCAGGAAGGGAATCGTGGCGGCCGTCTGGTCGACGATGTCCTTGCTTTCCTCCTCCGACACAAAGAGGCTCGGCAAAAAGTCGTGGGGCATCGTGTACAGCAGCATCCCGAGGAAACCGCTGAACACCGCGCAGCAGGCCACGCTGACCCTGCCCGCCACCGAGGCACCCGTGGCGTCCCCGGCCCCGAGCAGGTTCCCGACGCGGGCGGTCCCGGCAACCGCAAATCCGGCGGGGACCATGAAGCAAAAGGAGTTGATGCTCTGGTAGATCGTCATGGCCGAGAGCGTGGTTTCCGGGTCGGGCCCCAGCCGGCCGCTCAGAAAGATGGCGCACTCCGAGGCCCACCACTCGGAGATGACGACGATTCCGGGGAGGGCCAGACCGAGGTAGTCGCAAAATCCCCGAAGGGATCCCCCCGCGATCCGCAGCTCCCGAAAGAGGGTGAGGCTCTTGCGGCCGACGGATGCCCCGCCCGTCGACTCCAGGACCCGTTGTCTGCCCCGCGGGTACAGAAAGAGATAGGAGACAATGTACCCGCACTGGACCGCCTGGAAGCAAATGGCCGCGTAGGCACAGCCCAGGTATCCCATTCCCAACACGAAGCAGAACAATACGTTGAAKGGAATGTGCAAGAGTAGCCCTAGAAGTGCCGCGGTGGCGGGAACGTCGGCCATCCCGATGCTCTGGGTCCAGGCCGTCGTTGTCCACTGGATCGAATATATCCACAGGGAGGGCGCCAGGATCTTGAGGTAGGTGGAGGCGTGCGTGGCGAGTTCCGGGGTTTGTCCCAGACGGACCAAGAAGGAGTCGATGCCGGAGAGCCACCACATTCCAACGGGGACGACCAGCACGAGCTGGATCATCAATCCGCGAAGCAAAAAGACAACGGGAGTGTTGGGAACGGGGGATTCCGCTTCGGCGCCGTCGTTGTCGCTGTCGTCCGAGGAGGAGTCCCCGGATTCGGTGGTGGGGATCGCGCTTCCGTAACCCACAGAACTCGACGGTGGCTGCTTCGCTTGCTGCCTCGCCCTGGCCCGGGGGGCCCTCGAAAGCATCTCCCCCTTGGCCTGCCCCGCCAGCGTGCTGAGCGCAAAGGAAAAGCCGACGCAGAGGCTCATTCCCGTCACGTTGCACAGCGTCGTGGCCAGCGCCGCCGCCGCAAGCTCGACGGAGCCGCCGCCTCCCTCCGCACCGCCGTTACTGGCGGCGGCCGCCTTGCTCCTGGCGTCCATTTCCCCCAGGATCCGGAGCGTGATGAACCACGGGATCTTGGAGAGGATCATCGATTGGAGGGCGGGCAGAAAGGTCCGGGACTGCTCGATCACCTCTCTTTTGGCCAGGGCCGGCCAGTGCCGCTGGTGCCGCCACGAATGATTCCGGTGCGAGGATTCGATGGTGTCCTTGAGCGGGATCAGCACGATGTCGGATTCCTTGGCGGCAGCCCCTAGCAGCGAGGTTCCTTCGTCGTCGCTGTCTCGGGCGGCAGGCATCGCTTTCCGAACCACCGACTCCTCGTCCCCCATGCCGTCGCGATCGAATTCACGGGGTGCCATGCCGTATCGCGTTTCTTGGATTTGGGTTGGGTTGGGTTGGGTTAGGTTTGTCTAGTTTCTATGCTGTGCGGGTAGAACAAATCTTCCCAAGGATTTTTTCGGTCAATCCTCTCGTGTGTTATATCTCTTCTCGCAGTGTTCGAGTAGTAGAGTCCACCTTCAAAAGTTTGGGTAGGGGGCAACAGCTTTGTGAAAGTCCGCGGGGGAAAGAATCTGTGAGTCCCTTGAGTGTGTGGTGCGATGTGGTGTGTACTTTCGGATGGAATTCGTTCCGAATAAATGAATGAATCGGTGAGGAACAAATTTCGACGGAATGCTTTGAGAAAACAAAAAAGCGAGAGGAGCGATGTTTTTCGTTGTTCGATACGGAAAAGAAAGATGGCACGTCAAAATCATCTGAAACCGGATTCATTCATCAACGCAATGGATGGAGCTGGGTTCTGACTCGGCACTCGTTTCAAAACATCACCGTGCCATCGTCACTAAGAAATGACTTCCTAGAACCAAAAAATGATATGCCGCATGGTGCGGGTAGATAGTACGTACCATACCATACGTATCTACTATGTATGTATCTCCGGCACAGCGGAGTACTGTATGATACGTTTACGTACATACGGTACGTCCGTACGTACGCGGCCCATCAGGAAGCGTCATGCTTGCTTCATGACCGTTGCGTGCCCAGCTCACACACTCCACTCCGTCCAGACTCTTTTTGTCTGTGTCACGTTCTTTCGCTCCAAAACCCAAGAAACGAAAGTGATACAATCTCCCACTCAGAAGAACAATCCGATTGCACAAACGGTAGGAAAGTTGCAAATCACTTCGAAAGACGGTTGCAAACCGAGCGTCATGTTTGCGGTGTATTTCTTGTTTCGTTCCGAAACGAACAAGCCACACAAGTACCAGCAGTGCAAGTATTATAATATTATCATTCTAGGAGTAGTTTGCGATGCGATGGAATGCAATGCAATTGACTGTTTTCAATAGTATGATACGAAGCGCAATGCAGTGATAGTCGTACTAGTACGCTCGAGTATAACATGATACGATACGATACGATACGATACGATACGATACGATACGATGTGAAGCACAACTCAATACAATACAGCACCATACACTCCCTGTCCCAATGTACCGCACAGCAAGCTCCCGGTCATCTGGGGACGAGGCCCTTTTTGTGCTACTGGTGCGGTTCTCGGAATGGARAGAGTCTAGCTAGCTAGCTAGCCAATAGTTGAATGAAAACACCGTCCGGTCTTTTTTTTTTGCAAATGAATTTTGATTGTGCGTGCCGCTGCGGCAGTGCTTATCGTGTCGGTGTCTGTCGTCTTTTGTTTTTTTGGTGKGTGGGTGCTCACTCGGTGGCGGCCTCCGGTGCTTGGTCCGCTTCGGCCCCCGCCGGCTCTCCCGCCGAGGGGGGTTCGCCCTGTTGCGGTGCTTCCGGCGCCGCTGCGCTTTTCCGCGACCGCTTCTTGCTCTGCAGATCGACGATCATCACGGTCATGTTGTCCCCCCCGATGCCCTGGGAGACCCGGGGGTCGTCGCTGATGATCTCGTCGAGCATCTCCCTCCCGATTTCGGTCGGCGACATCGTGTCGATGCGCTTGGCCACAAAGTCCACGGCCTGCTGGTTGGTCAGGCAGTCCCAGATCCCGTCGCAGCCCAGCACAAAAAACTCGTCCACCGACGGATCGAGGGCGATCTGCATAATGTCCGGCTCGGCCGTGATCATCTGGTGGGCGGGGGGGATCCCGGGGACCTGCTTGTACTTCAAGTCTCCAATGGACCGGGAAAGGTTGAGGTTGCCGTTGATTCGTCCAAAGTGGTTGATAAAGCCGCCCGATCGCAGGATGCGGTTTCTCTCGTGCATCTGGGAGGGCTTGTGGTCGTAGCTCAGGGGATAGGCGTAGCAGTCGCTGCCGGCGTTGGCTTCGGGGTTCGCGCCCGCTCTGCGGCGGCAGAGGACGGCCCGGGAGTCTCCCGCGTTGGAAACCGTAAGGATCCGGCCGGTGAGAACGGCGACCACCGCCGTGGCACCGGCGTGGATGGGGTGATCCGGGAGGTTGCAGACCAGCCGGCCGTTGTGCTGGACCGAGGGGATCCGGGAGGAGGCCCCGCTGACCACCGCCGCGTCCGGGTATTCGGGATCCGTGACCGCCTCCTCCGGTTCGACGGGGGGAGTGGGGGTGGGCGTGGGAGCTGGCTCCGCTTCTGCTTGCCCATTTTCGCCCTCCTCTTCGCTTCCCCCCAGGGAAAGAATCTTCTGGAGCATCGTGGTGACGTTTCGTCCTCCTTCCGGGGAGGAAGACGTTCCCTCCCCGTCGTCGTTGGCTTCGCCGTCGTTGTCGTTGTCGTCGATGTTGGAATCCAGGGCAATGGCTTCTTCTACTCCCACGGCTTCGTTGGTGTCCAGAGAATCGGCGTCTTCCTGGTCGTCGCTGCCGTCGCCGTTGGTCTCGTTCTCCTCAAAGGCCTCGATCATTCCCTTGAGCGCCTCCGCGTCTCCCGGGGACATGGCCATGGACAGGGATCGGTCGATCTGCTTCGCCTCGACCTCCTTGGCGGTTTCCTCGTCCACCGTTCCCTCCTTTTCGGAACCATCGGGCAGGACCTCCTTTCGGGCCTGGTCCAGGACGCAGGCGGTGGAAACGGAGGAAGACCCTGGCGGGGTGTAAAAATCGGGCGGGTTCTCGGCCAGCGCTGGTGCCGGCGGGATGGAGTTCGTTCCGTTCTCCAGGATTTTGGTGACCCCGGGCCCCGGCTTGGTGGTCCGGAGAATCGCAATCTCGGCCCTCCGGCCCGGGTCGTCGATCATGCGGTCCATTGCGTGGAAGGCCTCTCGAAGGGCCCTCCCCACGGGAGTCTGCGAGGCGGCGGGAAGGTGGCTGGCCCGGTAGCCCTCCTCGTTCCCGTCGCCGTCCCAGGCGCTCTTGGTCGGCGGGGGCGGGGGCGGGGGGRCGCGGGCGTCGGATTCCGCCAGGGGGAGCCCGGTCCCGTTCGCCCAGCTCTCCTGGTGGGTGAGCACCGAGACAAAGTAGTGCTGGCAGAATCGCGCGACCTCCGCTCCCCCGTGCCCGTCGTAGACCCCAAAGACCCGGGCGTGGTGCTCGCTCTCGCTTTCGCCATCGCTCTCGCTGCTGCTGCTGCTACGGAGCGGAACACTCGTCACCGCGGTGTGGGCGTCCTCCATGGACTTTCTCCACCCCTGCATGTCCACTACGCCCCATTCCACCGGAAGGTCTCCGTTCTTGAGATTCTCCAGGGCTTCCCCCGATTCTTCGCACTTGTCCTTCACAGGAGTCGATAGATAGGTTCCCATTGTTGCGTTAGCGTTTTGTGTTGCTGTTGCTGTTGCTGTTGCTGTTGCTGTTGACTTATATGTTGTGCGCTGCGAGCTGTTGCTGCTGTTGAATTCTGGGCTGCGTTGCGTTGTGCCCAAACGAAACCTCGAGAAAAAAGTCGGGCAGGCTTGCAATGAAACGGAACGTATCTACCGAGGCAATCTAGGAGCGAACAATCCGCTTCGTATCGGTGGAATCTCAGAAGTTGGTTTCGATCTMGCTCAAATCTGMAACGATCCGATCTGTTGTCGTTTCCCTGCAGAGATTGGAATGGAATGGATTGAGTTGGGATGGCTCCGATTGGAATGGCTCGGCTCCGAACGGAATGGATGGATTCGATCGTTCCTTTCTTTGCTGCGCTACGGTGGTACGAACTAGCTAGTGCTCTCGCAACTTGCTGGAATGATATCAGAAGGGGAGCGGAGCRAGCGGTGCTCTGGATGTCCTCGTTCGTGTGCTGTGGCTGTGAGTAGTCCCAAAGTCTTCCGATGCGGTGAGGCGAASAAAACGAGACCAACGAGTCGAAACGCCTAGTAGAACTCCTGTAACTGCTGTACAGTAACGCACTTTTACTGGTACCTTGTACCTGCTGGTACCCGGTACGTACGAGTACTCTGCGTCCAAGACGTTTCTCGTCGATTTCGTCTTGCCGAGAGACCACATTGTATGGTGCACGGTATTACTGCCGTAGAACCTAGTACGAGGACCAGCAACGAAACCAGAAATTCCGCCGCCGGGGATACTATACTTACTGGCAATGCGATCGACGGAACTATTAGGGCGATGGCCTGCGCGTTGCAATCGATCCGTAGACGTACGTACGTACAAATAATCTACGGCGCGGTCTATGTASCGTATGTGTCTGTCTGTCACCCGATTGCGTGCTCTTACGGGGCGATGAGACCACGTTTTGGTACGTTCCGTGCGGGTGACAGACGATGCGAACGATGGATTCGATCCATTCGACTAAAAAATATTTCAGCGCGTCCGTGATCGTACGAGTACTCGTCCAGGTACTCGTACTCGTCGACGTCCGTACCTCGTACCAGTCCTTACCATACCGGTAGTTAGGAGCCTTGCAGCATCGAACTCTACGTAAGTAACGTACGTAAMGTACCGTACTGTTTCCGCGTTTCACAGAYATCAAAGAAATCCCTCACTCGTACGTCATACAGTACGGCTCGCAATCGCACGGCTGCGTAGGTGGTAGTTGGGGAGCTAGTAGTAGTTCTTCTTCCGGTCCCGAAGTGGGTGTAGAGGATGTTGATTCTTTGATTGATCGATGGCAACGACAACATCAATTACTGTAGTCACAGTMAATCATCCAACGATTCCATCACGAAAAAWCWCAACGCAACAAAAAGAAAAAGAAAACAAACAAAACTAGGATACAGGATGGTTCGCTCCTCGAATTTCGCCACGGCATGCCTGCTATCGCTGGCGGTATCCCTGTCGGCCACGCGGCAAACGACGACGGCTCTCGCCTTTCTTCCCCCCCAACTCTCCCACCGTTGTTCGAACCACAACGAGGCGCAGGCAGCAGCAACCACAACGACAACGGCAACGTCAACGGCAACGAAAAGGGTGAATGCCAACCGCCTTTTTTCGACGGCGTCCGCCAAGCGTCCCGACGTGCTGACCGAGAAATCGGAGGCCCTGGCGGAGGGCATCCTGAAGCGCATGGCGGAAACCTCGGCCGGCCTGGGAATGGAACACGCCGCCATGTTTGGCCTGGACGACGACGAAACCGACGAAAAAAACGGGCAGGAGCGGACCTCCGCGGGCCTCTTTGCGCTGTTGAACGCCATTAAAACCACGCTCGGAGACGGAGGCAGCCTGGGGCTGAACGGCCACCCGCTCGTCTTGCGCAGGGCCGATCTGGAAGCCGCCATGGGCCTCGAACCGGCRTCCCCCGGTTCWTCCACGGCCACGCTCTTCGAGAACGCCTTCACCATGGCCGACCTCGAAAAGGCCCTGGAAGACGACTTTCTCGACGCCTCGCGGGGATCGACGGACAACCGCAAGGGATGGGCCATCGCGCCCGTCTCGGTCCCCAGGGGGGATTCCTTCGAGGAGGCCCGCATGACCTTCGACGACGTCTGCGCCGCCCTCGACAAGGGAACGGTCATCTTCAACGCCTTTGGGGCCCACGTTCCGAAGCTCGCCGGGCCCTGCCTGGCCGCGACGGACGCCACCGACACGCCCAACGCGGTCAACCTGTACGTGACGGCCTTTGGAAAGCGAACCTCGGCSCCACCCCACACCGACAAGCAGGACGTGYTGGTCGTCCAGACCGGGGGCAAGAAGCACTGGAGGGTATACGCCCCCACCGAGGCCTCGGTAAAGACCACCGCGGACGTCTTTGCCCGCGGAAAGGGGACGGACAGCCTGCCCCTGCATCTCCTGGAGGCCGCGGACGGGGACAACCTGCTCCTCGAAACCGATCTGAACCCCGGAGACGTTCTCTTTATCCCGGCGGGATTTCCCCATACCACCGGAACGGCCCACGAGGAAGACGGCGGCAACGACGGCAGCGGCGCCGACAAAACCAGCATCCACCTCACCTTCAACATCGACACACACGTGTGGGAGCTCGACTACCTCAACGCCCGGAGGCTGGCCCTGCGGAGGGCCAACATCGTGGATTCGGCCCTCGGGCAGTCCCGCGACGAGGACAACGTCTACGTGGGCCGCGTCAACGAGCTCCCATCCGGCCTCCACCGCGATCTCCTCGGGGAACTCCCCCTCGGCCTCCTGGGGGAAGACGCAGAATCCTCGGATGCCCTGGTGGAAACCGCCACGGCCAGGCTGAAGGAACTCGCCGAGGCAGTCGATGCGGAAACCTTTGCCGCCGTGGAGGATTCCGTGTGGAAGGAAACTATTCTGGAGCTGCGTTCGAAGGGAAGAGAACTCGTTGACATCCACCGGGACATGTACATTGCGGCCCTGGAGGAGGGCCGGACCCGCAAGGCCGAGGACGCCATGACGGCCCACCTCCAAAAAGACGGCGAGAACAACAGGAAGAAGCCCCTCACCCAGGAGCGGATGCAGCGGCTATCGCTCTTCCGCGTCCAGAAATACTACGAGCTCATCAACAAGGTCAAGGCAGACCTCCTCAAGTGGTCCTACGAAGGAACATCCAGCGGGCCGAAGGCCGGGGAATCCGCCAAGGCGGCCCTCCCGGACAACTGGGCCTTTGTCCTTCCGGTCAAGATGGGAGACCAGGTGGAGGCGGACCTCGGGGGGGCCTTTTTCCCGGCCACCGTTACGAGGGTGCTGCCCAACGGTGGGGGCTACGATGTCAAGTTCTTCGACGGCGATCAGGAGAGCGGAATGGAACGGGGGGCGATCAAGCTGCTCACGCCGCCCGACATGGGCGGTGACGAAGAGGAGGACACGTCGAACATGACCCCCAAGCAGCTGAAGCGATGGAAAAAGGCCCAGAAAAAGAAGAAAAAGCAATGAAGGAGCGGGAACGTTCGCAAGCAAAACCGTTGCACCCGCGTCGATCACTCGCTGGCGAACGTTTGCTAGCTAGCAAGAGAAGTCGTGGTACTGAAGAGACAACACAGATATGAATACTAATCCATCCATGGGTTGATGTACAACTAACATTCCATGAAACAAAAAAGCCACGCACGAGAAAACAAATCCACGACTCATTATTATTTTAGTACTACTGCAGTAGTTCATTGATCCATCGATGCATAGATTTTGTTGCCGACTCAACAACCACAGGTTGTAACTATTAGACCTATAGCTATTCATTGCATTCAATTTTTCAAAGAGTTTTATTAAAATTTCTTCTCGAATAGATGCATTCCTTGAATTTTTTGGAAACTCGTTTACTACCAGCCCAACTTTGCCTTTCACTGGATGATATGTACGGAGAAATAATCATGGCTACAGCAAGGGAATGGTGAGTACCGGTACAGACTAGAAGATTATCATACCTCTGTACTGGGACTACAATTTCTGGCGATTAATTCCTGAATTCTGGGATCGTCAAGAGGTGGACGAGTTTGAGTCCTGTATCGTACCTATCGGTAGTACTTTAGTAATTAGTAGAAGTAATTCAGTATCATAGGTTATTATGCTACGACTACGGTACTCGTACGTATGCATCGAACAGGTTGAAGTGTAATGGCAAGGAGTTGATGGCACCAAGGTTAGTTACTGTAGTTAGTAAGGACAAGAAACCAAATAATATGAGTGATTCCCGTTATTATAGAATGATAGAATTCCGGAATCTATGAGTTTAGCACTTTTATAATAACTGGAATCCGAATTTCAACGGACAGACCACGAGAATGCCGGCTCGATGCCAGTCTTTTGTTGGAATGTACTAGAAGTACTGTATCATAGATTTAGCACATTTAGAATGGGGTCGGTTGACCCATTCTAAAAATGCTAAATCTATTACAAAATGTGCTAGATTTTTGGTCCGTCCGTCTATCAAATTTAGCATTTCTATAATATCGGGAATCACTCAATCATCGATTTCTATTGGTGCTAGCAGGGTGCCCTCGTCAATTTATCAATAATCCGTGATTTCTATTGGTGGCAACGTCTATCGCTGAGCTACAATCTTTTTCTTTGGGATTGATAACGTTGCATGGTGATTCCTAAAAAACGGATCCACGCACACCCAATGTGACACCCCACCCCTAAATCGTATTCGAGAAACCCAACCATTCAAGATTTTTCAAACAGAGAATACCGCCGCGCACCGTAACAGCCAATCGGAGACGGCCAGGTAAGCTGCTAAGTATTTAGCTGAATGAATTCTGACACTCCGACTGACCGGTGGACGACTGACTCGTGGTTCTCACAAGCGAAACCTACTCGTACATTATCCCGTATTCGATTCTTACTGTATGGTACTTTTAAACTTCTGGTAGCAAAAGTACAGCAAGCAACGTGCTGCCAAGAACCCTACGTAGACGGGTACGGCAGAAAATTCACAACATTTTCACGAGTTTTTCGTTGTACTCGTTCCCATCAAAGTTACATACCGTAGAACCCATACAAGTACTCGTGTTAACTATTCCTTCTGCACCTTTTCCCTGCCTGCCTGATCTTCGAAAATCTGCGGCACGAAGAAAAGATGATGAGAGCGAATGCAACGGTTTTCCTGTAATCGAACGCACGTTCCACTCCATCGCCAGGCTACAAATCCCCATAATTCTATCAATCAACGCCTTTGATTGATCGATCGATAGCAGAAGGAACCCGAATCGTCCAACCACAAAGAAATCAGGAACGATGACAGCGACAAAACCATCCTCACTCCAACAAGCCCTGATGGAACTCCCGGACAACGAGAGGACTTTGTCCAGAGATAATGCGGAATCCCCAAAAGGCACGTATTCCAGATCAAATAGTAGCAACAGCCTTGCGTCCTCCAAGAAAACAAAAGGACGCTACTGCAGAACCACCAGCAGTAACAGCATTTCTTCTTCCAAGAACGTTTTGAGATCTTCCAGGTCGTCGTCGTCGCTGCAGAAAGAGGTGGTCCGAATGAACGCCACGAGCTTTTTAGAACAATACGAAGAGCAGGCAGAAAGCAGAGGGAAAATCCGGCTGTAGTGTGAAGTGTTGTCCAGAAATGATAGAACAGAAAATAGAATGCTGATTAGAGTACTACAGCTGACCATTGACGAATACGAATTCCGCAGCATGGGTGCTTACTGGACGAATTTGATGACGATTATCATTTCACTGTCCTCCGGATATATTTTGGAGAATTACTTTGGTTCGGAGAAGGAAAAAATCGTGGATCGATTCCAAAATGCATAACGAAAGAAAAAAAAAACAGGATTGATATTTTAATGGTGATGATTGATTGAATCATTCATTTCACATAACATAAAATGGTAGACACAAGGTATTTCGCAAAGACTTGCTGTATTGACATTCCGACCTATCTAACTATCCAAGAAATGCGTTTACTGTTGCAGCAAGACTTTGTAATTTACCAAAGCCATCTTGTCTATGAAATTGAACCCTAGTAAGATAATGATGGGGGTACGTGCCCTGCATTGCATTCTTTTCGAAGGTCCAACAAACGACTTGTTCTCTCCTCCTAGGAGAGCCAAATTGTGTTCACTTCTGTGCCATTGACGATCAAACAACCGATGCGCTTGTCGTTATCTGTTGTTGCCTTAGTTTTCGATGTCCAACAAGGCTTTTGCCGCTCTCCAAAGCCCCTCGGTTGCGTTCTTCTTTTTTCGATCAGCATCTCCTTTGACACTAGAAAGGCACGCAATTGGTGCTAGTAGGCATAACAACATTAGTCCAGTACTAGGATTCTTGTTGGTAGAAAAAGGATACCCAGTAGCAGTACTAGTAGTACTACTGGTGTACTACCAACTTGTTGTGCTCCTACGTACATATTTTGTTGCTTGCCTTCATAATCGTGAATAGCAACTCGAACAGAAAAATGAAGAATGGCTTTGTTACAGCTACATTTGTGTGAAGTTCGTAACATAGGATCATTTTGAAGTCGTATGGCAGACTCTCAAACCCGGTTAGCTCAGTTGGAAGAGCGCTCGGCTTTTAACCGTGTGGTCGTGGGTTCAATCCCCACATCGGGTGCAGAAAAGCGCCTTTTGCGCGAAAATTGTTTTTGTTTTGGCTTCCTGCTACACAATAGAATGCAATGGGCAGCAACTTCACACTTTCAGTAGTAGAAGACAATAGCCAGAAAGATTTCATGCAACAAAAACCATGATGCAACAATACCTAAGCTTTCCACTGGTGGTGGTGGAATCTTCTTCAAGGAGAATGCCATCACCGCCACCAGCAGCATTCTTGCTGTCATGTTTCAAAAAGAATCCTTACCAGCAAAGATGTCAGAATCTTTTATCAACAGCAGAAAGATTTGAGGAAAAAACTGAGATAGCACAAAACAATGATGATGGTTTCTTGTTAAACAAAAAGTACTATTTATGAGGAGTGCAAGAACAGAAACTTTTAATTTTGCCACCATTTTCACCTCGTCAGGTTTTGTTCTTACTACTACTAGTAGTACTACGCACTATTATTGGAACCTACCAAAAGACCACCAGTGATTGGGTAGTAAGTAATTCATAATTCACAATATTCTTATGCTCAGAATCACCACAATATAAGGTTGAAAAATTATCTCATAATTGAAGCTGCAATTCCAGCCACCACCAGAGTAGTAGTGCTGGTGAGTGCTGCCAGCACCACCAGCAGCACGAAGCACAGCAGTATTGGTAAAAGAACTGATAGTACTAGTAAAAAGATTGGATATATAACCTGGTGCCAGCAAGAAGTCAATGCAATTTTAATGTGCAGCAACAACAAGGAAACAAAAAGTACTATCCTTGAGGTGCTGAGGAGGTTGTAAAAGATATGTCACTTCTTGTTAATGGTGGTAGTAGGAGAATGAAAGGGCAGAACAACAATATACTGCTAAAAGTAGTAGTAGGTATAACATGACAAATATTTCAAAGGTAGAAAAAAAGTTGATGAAAATAGTATGAGAAATCTCATGTGATAGCAACAACCAAGGTAGAACAGAAAGTACTAGAAGTAGTAATCAATGGTAATATTCAGAAATAAGATTGTTTGTTGTCACACCCAGCAGCAAGAAACAGAAGAGTGTTACTACTACCAGTATTACTTATCATAGTACTCCTACTATTAGTACTACTAATAAAAGGAACCATCTAGTAGTACTACTATGAGTAATATACCATTCTTCAAACAATCATTTCATTTCCCTTCATATTGGTAGTACTAGTACGTCACACAAACGGGATCCATGGTGTTGCGCATTTCGCGCGGTCTATACCCTTAAATTTTCT